CCATCGAGTTTGACTCACCTCCTCATTTTTTTCTCATCAGAGCATTTCTCATCCGATAATAGGGCAATATTACCCTGAGTGAGCTCATCTTATCTCCAATTGCCCACGTACTCACACTCTACTAGTAAATTTTGCTAATGAAAGAATCAATATCACGTACTGGATAGCCTCAACGCAGTATATTAACGTCAGTGCAACTCATAAGCCTGAGCTTTCTAATAATAGAAAATAATGGATTTGTTTTAGGAGTGACATTAACCTTGCTGTGGAACCTGAGACGGTGAGAGTTGGTAGCAGCGTGTTGGAACAGCGCAGGTAGGAAGTTGAATTATTCAGATTTTCATTAAAAAGCAACCATATTGTGGGTATAGAAAATTCAAATATGGAAACAGCTTCTGAAAAGGCCAACATCTAAGGATAGAAAAGGTTGCTGCCACAAATAAAGAAGTGTATAGTCAACAGGGCACATCGTTCGCTGGGGTTCCCCACTGAGCGGTTCCGTATTTGGTCGCTGAAGGGAGGAGAGTCGTGTTTGCCTTCGGAAAAATGTTCTCTGTTGTTGACTTTTCCCGGTTTTCTCGGTTGGCGGTTTCCCTGCCTTGAAGACAAACCCCCACGATCTCTGGACGAGTTTTCCGGACCTGCTCGTTTTATGTCAGAAAAGCGATATCCTGCCAACCTCTACCCTCAATAATGGTTTCTCCGCGTCATTCAATACTAACACCATCAAATAACGAAAAAAAATGAAAATGTGATGAATCGTCCTTTGAGCCTTGGTGGGCGGGACAAGTGGGGAGGCGTCACTGCTGCCACTTATGAGGGCAACAAAGCCTTCGTTACTTATTGTGAAGCCGCAAAAAAGGGATCATCTTAGAGATTAAGGGCCAGACTACTTGTACAAGGAGGAACGCCTACGAGTTTCAAGCGCGGAAGGGGGGTTGCCCTTAGGTGCGCACACCATACCTTCATCCCACCTCGAGGGCATTTTTTTTGTCTCTATAGTTTGTCAGAGCCCTGCGCGTGGACTATTTGCCAACGTTCCCAATGATAGCAGTAACGAATACTTGACAGCCGTTTATACATGCCATTCTCAAAGAAGATACATAATAGCGCTTCAACCTATGAAAATTCCAAAATTTTCTAGCTTTTCGGTACTGTAATATCGATTGGTTTGGCCACTTATGCTGGCCAACTTCCAACCGCTTTCCGAGCTCTCCAATTTCCGTTTTCTAAGACTATTAAGGTGTATTCAGCACACTAAAGCCACAGCGAGGATGCTAAAAGAGACGAGTTATGTGCGCTGCATTCGCACCAGAACCCAATTACCTCAATGCATCAAGTCAACTAGTTAGCGAATATCCCCCTAGTTCGCAAGGCTCAACCGTAGGGACCATTTGGTACATTGTATAGGTTCTATTTTGGATGTAACAGATTGTCAGTTATCAGTTGCCATCGAATCGATTATGGCTCCCAATTCTCGTGAAGTCAATTACGGTACCATTCTAATCTGCGAGTGTAAAAGCACCGACTTGTTCATTTACTGGACCCCGAAGTCCTTGTCTGAGCCCAACCCGATTTGATATTTTTCT